GAAAGAGTTACATAAAAATTGTTGACTATTAATAGATTTTTAGACTAACTTCAGAACTCTGATACAGCTTCCTTCAAAATGTTCCAACCAAATACTGACTTTTTTTCTTGGTTTTAAAAAAAAAAGGTTTGGGGAATTCCTGGGTGGTCCAGTGGCTAGGACTCAGTGCTTTCACTGCCGTGGCTCAGGTTCAGGCCCTAGTTGGGGAACTAAGATCCTGCAAGCCGCATGGGGTGGCCAAATAAATAAATATTTTAAAAATAAAAAAAGGTTTGATATCTAGTTTTGTCATTCTGAGGCATTCACCGATAAAACCCCTAAAACCCTCATCTATTATCTTTCATCATTTCTCCCCAATACTAAAAGAAAAGGAGTGTAAACTGCATTGCCTGTGGAATAAAGCTCTTTTATCTCAGAAATCTTCTGAGATTTCCTTCTAATCTTATTCTAACCAGTCAGTTCCATATAAATTAAATGATGTTTAGTAACATCATTTAAAAATTTTTTGTCAGGGCTTCCCTGGTGGCGCAGTGGTTGGGAATCCGCCTGGCAATGCAGGGGACATGGGTTTGGGCCCTGGTCTGGGAAGATCCCACATGCCTCAGAGCAGCTAATCCCATGTGCCACAACTACTGAGCCTGCGCTATAGAGCCCGTGAGCCACAATTACTGGAGCCCGTGAGCCTAGAGCCTGTACTCTGCAACAAGGGAAGCCACCACGATGAGGAGCCCATGCACTGCAACGAAGAGTAGCCCCCGCTCACCACAACCAGAGAAAGCCCGTGGGCAGCACTGAAGACCCAAGACAGCCAAAAATAAAATAAATAAATTACAAAAAAAATTTTATTTTTCAGAGTGCCCACTTACTGTCTTGAATTATGATGTTTAAAAGAAACTAAATTTCCTAGAATTGAAATCTGTTGCTTATACATGTGAACTAGAATAATTCTAGAATTTTTAACTGTATTTCCAAACAGCAATGTAAAGTTAGGCCTATATGCAAAAATAGCTCACAGTCAGAAGAAGCTAAAATCAATACATAAGGCTCTGCCCATCTGTAAACTGACAAGATCAAAAGCCCAGCTCTTGAGGAAAGATTAATTCCAGGCTGAAAAACAATGTTTTAAAAATATTTAAACAAATTCAAAAAACGATTCAGTTAACAAGTCAGTCGAAGCAACATGAAAATTTTAAAGTGAAATTTTAAGACTCAGTTATTTTAAATTTAATAGATATTTGAAATGATGTCCTGAATCAAGCTTGTTTCTTCCTATTTCAAATGTACTGGTTTACATAAGATTATAAATATGGTAAATAGATCAACCTGAACATTATCATCTTAACACAATACAAAAAATATAAAAAAATAAAACACAAAGAAAAAATCCATCCCAGGAACCTACCAATTCCATAAGAAACAAAACTCAAAATGTTTTCAGTATATATAAAATACTGAAAAGTTTTCAGTATATATAAAATACTGACAACAGTGGTAATAACATTTCTTCTCTTTTGTCTTTTGTTTTTAATAGTTAAATATGTAGAGATTGATCTAAATAATTAGAAAGATAAGGAGAATTAATCTTTTTATTTATCTCAGCATGTTAATTTAAACACAAAAAAATATTGATAATATAATAGGATAAATACTACAATTAAGTGCATTCTTGCTTTGGGATCATGAACAATAGGAAAGCACAAAGTCATGGAAATATGTGAGAGCATGTCATGTTTGGAGAATGGCAAGTCACTCAACAGGCCAGGTTGTCAGACTTATGTGATAAACTGCTTAATAACAGCTATATTAAAATAAAAAGCAGAATCACATACCATAACTGGACATTTTGTTCAGGATGATTCAGGGAAAG